GTACCAGAAGGGCATGGAGCAGGACCTGGTGCTGCCCACGGACTCGCGTGCCACTTTGGTGGATGTGCACCAGCGCTGGGAGCGCCGTGCTGTCACCCTCTTCCTGTCCTGTGCCTTTGCTGACAACGAGCGCACCTACCAATGTCAGCTGATGGTGAGTCACTGTCACGCCGTGGGGTTCTGGGGGCAATTTCTCTTCGATTCAGACCTGTTTTGTGGTGCAGCGAGAGCTGGAGGCGGCCAAGGAGGAGTTCTGCCTGCGCAATGAGGAGGCATCGGAGCAGCGTTGTCAGGCGGTGCTGCGGGAGCTGTGGCAGGACGTGGAGCACCGTCTGCAGTGTGGGGACTATGCAGCACCAGGCGGAGCACAGCTGTTCCAGGATGATCTGTGCCACGTCCTGGAAAAGTACCAGTGGTGGCCTGAGAAGGGTGTTAAGGTGAGTGGGGTGTGATGGAGCCTGGTGTGGCGATGCAGGCGGTGCCTCATAGTTGTACCATCAGGCGGATGCAGTGCTGGACGTGTTCCTGCGAGATCGTGAGCCGCTGGCACAGGCGCTGCATGCGGTCGATGCACGCATGATGATGATGGAGTGGCAGAAGGAGGCAGCAGCAGCCAAGGAGGCAGCAGCCAGGGAGGCAGAGGCAGAGTGCCTGAAGGAGCAGCAACGCAGCCTGGAGGAGCACTGCAGGCAGCTGGAGCAGCAACTGCTGGAGGAGCAGCGCCTGCGGCTGAAGGAGCAAAACCGCCTGCTGGAGCACCACCTGAAGGTGAGCGCTGTGACAGCGTTGTGTGGTGGAACCAGCATGTTGTGGCTGTGCCATGGATGATGGGGTTGTGCAATGGTACCAGTAAACTTTGTGGCTGTATTGTGGCGTTGTGCAGCGGTACCAACAGCACTCTGTCCCACAGGAACATCGGGCACTGATAGAGGAGGGTTACAAGCGTGATGCAGAGAAAATGCAGCTGCAGATCGAGAGGCTGAGGGAGGAGAAGCAGAGAACTGAAAACCACACATGGGTCGTCTCAGCTGTGGGCCTCCTGGTCGAAGTGGCATCACTCTTCCTGCCCGGCATGGTCGTCAAGACAGCAGGCATTGTAGGCAAGCTGATGAAGCGCATCCTGTAACCCAGTCACCTGTCTCTATGACCTGGCTTCAGCTGAGATGGCGTTGAATTTTCCTTCATTGTATTTATGCTGTGTTTGGGCTTTAGGAGAAAAACAGTATTAATAACTGACTGATGTTTTAGCTATTGCTGAGCAGTGTTATACAGAGCCAAGGACATTTCAGTTCTCAGTTTCTCCTACTGCCCTGCCAGTGAGGAGGGCTGTGGGGGATGCAAGGAGTTGGGAGGGGACAGAACTGAGATACCTAACCTGAACTGGCCAAAGGAATATTCAGTATGATATGAGCCTGATAATTGCTAATTATTATGGCTTTTTTTTTGCACAGATATTTCAGTGTTTTCTTGAAACTATATCATTTAGCACTTGATATTTATGTGTCAGTCGAGTTGTTTACCATCTCCAGGAGTTGCATTGAAGTTGTCATTTTGCTGTGCTTTGTGATTTTGGCTTACAGTATGATAAAACTGCTGACTGGGAACTAATCTGGTGTTTGTGCTCAACGCTGTAGTGATCTTTGTACTTTAGGATCTGTATTTTGGATGCTATGAGTAATTACACTTTGCTCTGTCTCCTTGTGGCACCAGACTACAGAGGGAATAAGGGAGGACACTTTCCACCCACTGACCTTAGCTGGCCAAAGGGATATTCCGTTCCATAGGACACTGTACAGAAGGACAGCTTGAAAAAGTGAGTTTGTCAGGTGGGCTGCTGCTGATTGGGGACTGGCTGGAAAACAGTCAGGGCGCTGACCCTCAACCCCACGGCACGGCAGGAGGTGCTCCAGCCCCCGGTGATGGTGGCCATCAGGAGCCCTATCACAGTGGTAAATGATGAAACACCTGGCCAGCCTCAACCAGGGCTCCCTATCTGTTCTGGGAACCTTCTGGGGCATTCTGAGGATTTCTGATGGCTGGCCCCCAAAAACAGAGCTGCAGGTGCAGGGCAACAGCCACAACGATGCCTGGATCTTCATGCTGGCATTGCTGCTCCCCAGCACCTGGTGTACAACAGCCCGGGCATCACTGACCAGCTGGGCAGGAGCAGCTGCAGTATCCTGCAGGGACTGGAATGGAAGTGGGGGAATTGTGGTGAAACTGGGAGATTTCTGGCAAAGAGGGACTTGGGGCAAAGCTGGGGGATTTGGGATGAAACAGGATTTGGGGTGACAGGAAACTTGGGGCAAACTGGAGGATTTAAAGTAAAGCTAGGATTTGGGCAACCGAGTATTTGAAGTGAAGCTGTGGGACTTGGGCCTTGCAGGAGTTGGGATGCAACTGAGAGATTTGAGATAAAACTGAAGGATTTGGCCAATGTGAGACTTGGGGTAAAACTGTGGGGTTTGGGTAATGCAGGATTTATGGCAAAGTTGTAGGATTTAGAGCAACATGGGACTTGAGTTGAAGCTGTGGGATCTGAGGTGAAAGAGGGGATTTGAGGAAATGTTGGATTTGGGGTGAAGTTGTGGGATTTGGGGGATCTTGTATTCAGAGGGAATGCAGACTTGATGGGGTGATAGAGAATTTAGGGTGAAGATGTAGGGTTTGGGAGATGTTGAATTTGGGGGCAGGATGCAGAACTATGGATTTGGGGTGAAAGTGTGGGACACAGGAATCAGGGTCTAAAGGCGGGTACAAGATACAGAGTACAGCTGGGCACTGTAGGGGAGATGGGTATAAGGGGAGGATGCAGGATTTGGGGGACGCAGAATTCAGGGCTCACCCCCATGTGCTCCGTGGGGGATGCTGTGGGCTTCGTGGATCCTTGCAGGGACTGTGCATTCATGCTCTTCTTTCCAGCTTCATGTGGGCAGTATGAGACTTCACCCTAGTCCCAAACGTGGGTGTACCAATCTCACCCTGGGGTGAGGATATAATGACAAAAGGACAGCGATGGGTCATTTTTCTAGCAGGGAGAATAGGCAAAAACAGTTTGAACCAATTTCAGCTGTTTCATCACTGAGGAAGGGTCACCATGCAGGGTGGTCATGGACACAGAAAAAGAGAACATCCGTTAAATCAGAAACCAAAGGGGAGTCCATGGGAAAGAATAAATTCACATGTTGCAGATCTGCTAGCTTTGAGTTTAGATTCTGACTGGTGGGAACTGGGGGTGGCCTCCAAAGAGTCCCCAGCAGAACCTCTGGTTATAATAAAGTGGGGAAAGAGCACAAATTCAAGACAGAAACCAATCAGAAGAGACTGATTAGGTGTCCTTAAAAAATCCTGTGCCCAAATATGGACAAGGTGAGTAACGGGACACCTCTCCAAACAATCACCAACGACTCTTGCTCAAATACAGAAGATTTGGATAATTTTATGAATATATAATAGGTAGGTATGACTATAAGGAGAAACCAGTGTGAAGACTTGGTGAGCACTATTTGTGGGGATTTCTCTCCTTATGCTGCATGCAGAATAAAGCAATGTCTCCTCTCTAAACATTTCTCTATTTTAATGTGTTTTGGGACATTTTATGCGGGCATTGTCATGAGGAGAGGGTGAGAGAGCTGGGGCTGCTCAGCCTGGAGAAGTGGAGGAGCAGGGAGATCTTATTAATGACCATAAATGCCTGGAGGGAAGGTGAAGAGGATGGAGCCAGGTTCTTGCTTGTGGTGCCCAGTGCCAGGACAAGAGGCAAGGGGCACAAACCGGTACATAGGAGGATCCTATCTGAACATCAGGATGTCATTATTTTTATTGTGTATTTCTGCCCTGGAACCGGCTGTCTGAAAAGGTGTGAAACCTCCTCCATGGAGATCTTTAAAAGCCATGTGGATATGGTCCTGGACAAGCAGATCCAGTGTCTCTGCTCGAGCAGGGGTTGGACCAGAGGGACCCTGAGGTCCCTTCTGACTGACCTCAAGCACCCTTTGATTCTGTGATTGTCTTTGGCTGCATAACAAGAACTGAAAGATTAAGGATAAAGCTGAATTCTAAACTGTCCCTCTGCAGCCCAGGGGCACCATGCGGAGCAGATCTCCACGTGCAGCCATGGAGGAGCCCACAGTGCAAAGAGGTCCCACAGGATCAGGCTCCAGGGTGAAGACTGCAGGAGGGCTGGGGGAGCTGCTGCCTACAGGCCTCATGCTGGAGCAGCCCCTGAAAAACTGGCCCTGTGATGCAGAGCTGTGTTAGAGCGGGGCTTGATCTGTAGCCTGTGGGAAGCTCACACAGTTTGGGAAGGACAGCACCGTGTGGGAAGGACCCTGTGCTGGGACAGGGACATGGTGAGGAGGAAGGAGCAGCAGAGATGGGGTGATATGGGCTGAGCACAGCCCCCATTGTACCGTGCTGCTGGGTGAGGGGGAGGTAGAACACGGATGGGATGGAGTATGTGTTGCCTTTAGTTCTCATTGCTCTGGTCTGCTAGCAGTAGGCAATAAATCACATTAACCTCCGTACACTGAGCCTGTTTTGCTTGTGACAGTAACCAGTGAGTGACCTCCCCATCCTATCTCAACCTAAGAGTTATTCCATGTCATTTTCTCCCTCTGCCGCTGCTGAGAAGACGAGCAAGAATTAGAATCAGAATCACAGAATGGCCTGGGTTGAAAAGCACCACAATGCTCGTCTCATTTCAACCCCCTGCTACACACAGGGTCACCAACCAGCAGACCAGGCTGCCCAGAGCCACATCCAGCCTGGCCTCGAATGCCTCCAGGGATGGGGCATCCACAACCTCCCTGGGAGCGGCGTGGTGGTGCTGAGCCGTGTGCCAGTGTCAAAGCGCAGCCGACGCCACAGGGCTGCGACACAGCTTGCGGCCTTCACGCCTTTCTGAGACGCTCCCGTCGTCGTAGCAACCGGAGGCCCCGCCCGGCCGCGCCCGCGCATGCGCAGGCAGCGTCCCATCGGCTTAGGGCGGACGCTCCGTCAGCAGCGGTCGCGCATGCGCGGTGAGCGGCGGGGTGCTGGCAGCCGGGCCTGGAGCAGCCGTCAACTCGCCCGGTCATGTCGTACGGGCCGCTGGATCCCTACCGGGCCGGGCCGACGGCCCCGCCGCGGGATTTCGGTGCTATCATTCAGACATGCAGCGGCAACGTGCAGCGCATCGCGCAGTACAGTGAGTGCCGGAGGACCGGGCCGGGGCTCCTCGGTGGGCCTGGGGCGGGGCGGGGCGGCTGCAGACCTGTTCCAGCTCGTGTCATAAAGTAGTTAATATCGTGGAGTAGTTAATGTCGGTCATTAAGTAGTTAATGTCGTGAAGTAGTCGTTGAAATCCGGGTATTGAGCCCTGCCGCTGTGTGAGGGAATCGTTTCCAGTCGGGTGATCGATCCCTTGGCGAAGATGCTGCCTTTTGTAAAGGTGGAACCCGAATCTTGCTGCCGTGTCTCTGGTCGTCTGAATGCGGCTGGCGGAGTCTGTCAGGTTGGATATTAGGAAAAGCTTCTCTGCAGGAGTGCTCGGGCACTGTGATGGGTGGCTGACCGTCCCTGTGCAGCCTACCAGGCAGAACTGCTGGTAGTTGGATGGTTGGGCTGCGTGGTCTCAGGGATCTTTGCCAACCTCAATGATTTTCTGCCGCTCCACTTTGATCTCACAAGTTGTAAGCATTCCTCAAGCTGTTCTGCCTCCTCTTGGTGTGGCTGCCTGTTAAATTCTTCCTGAAGTTGTCAGAAAACATGGCTTTGGTTTGCCTTGCCTCTTCTGTGTGTTTTCTCTGAGCTTCCTCCTCTAATTAGTTCAGCTCCTCTTCCTCTTAGCACAAGATTGCTTGGTCTCATGACCTGCAGCTGCCCTACCTCAGTGTGCTGCCAATTTCAGATGAAACAAATGTCTTACAGCTTCTATCAAGGTGGGTGGGAACACAGAACAGCTGACTTACCGTTATAGTAATTAGCTGTACTCTGTATTTGATAAAAGGCCTGAAGAGAAACAGAAACCTTGAGCACTTCCTCCTTTCTCCTCTTTTTCCCCATAGGAAAAAGCAGCAAGCAAACAGTGGGGACAGATGGGTTGTATTCATTTGTTTTAGGAAACTCAGCAGAAGTAGCACTTCTCACAAGTGTGCAGAAAGCTGCTGGAGCAAGCTGGCAAAGCTACTGCCTGCAAGGCTGTTGTTTTACCTAAACACCCAGAGGGAGGTTAGAATGTTGTAAGTAATCTGAAGTGCATAACAGCATGGAATGCTTTGTGCCTAAAATTGAAAGGATTTGTAGACTGAAAGCTGCTAACAGAAGGGACTTTCTATATTGATGTGTGTGCTTGGTGCCCAAAAATGAAGGGGAAGAGCTCCAGCCTCTCTGTTGCTTTGTTGCCATTTTCTGTAGGTTTTGTGCGTTACTGTTGGATGAAATAAGCTATGCGTGGAAAATTGTGGGAACTGGTGAAGGCAAGAACAGAAAACACATTGCCTGGCATGGCAATGGGACTTGTACAAGAATATGCTCTCAAAGGAGGGAAAAATAAATAGCACAGAATATCTTGATGTAGCACAAACTCCACTTGCTTGGTCCTTGATGTCCACACGGTGTATGGCCTGTGTGTTGTCAGTTTAACTTGGCTGCAAACTCTTTGGACCTGCATGTGGCTCGTAGATCTGTGAAATTAGTGCAGTCTTGCTTGCTAAAAGCAGCATTCAGCTTGTTGTATCAGAAGTTGTTAAACAACTCCTCGCTGTATGGACTAATAGAAACCAGAAATGCATCATGCTGTATGCAGAAGTCAGAATTATTGCCTCATTACTGATTGAATCATACTGCAGCCCTGGCTCAATTGCTGTTGTTATAAGCAGTTACCCTTCACTTTAGAAGAGAGGTCTGTCATTGGAATCTGGTGTTTCTTTAGCAACACATTTCATCAACTGAAGTGTTTCGCTCCGGGCTAAAAGCAGGAATTGCACCAGTAGAATCTCACTGAACTGGAAGTATCTCTTGTTATTTCACTGACACTCAGCTGCCTTTAGAACAATGCTAAGTTGATGCTTCTATGTCCTGCCTCGCTGCTTGAGGGAATAGGGAATGATTTCATGATTGCTAGGAGCCCATCAGGTTTTGTCCTACTGGTGCCCCCAGCATCTCTTACTAATGCTAAGGAGCATGCAGCTGCAGGATACAGCAGGTCAGCGTGCTGGGCTGCTCAAACATTCTGCCTCCCCCTTCTGAGGCAGAGGGGAAGGGGTGGCTGCTTTGCAGGTGTGTTAAGGGTTTGGTGGTTGTATGATAAGCAGTGCCTGCATAAGAGGAACTGTGGATGAAGATAGGGAATGGCTAGAACTTCTCTGGCTACAATCTGATTAAGATTGATGTAAGCTAACGCTGCTCTAGCTGCTGTACCTGAAAGACTTTACCAGTACTGCAACAGCTTCTGTCTATCAGGAGTAGCAAAACACAGATTATTTGGTTTTGTTTTTTAAATAAAGTGGTTCTGGCAGTGATGGTCTGAGATGTAGGAACAAAAATTATTATTGGTTTAGGAAAATTGAGGAAGAGGAGCATGCAAGCTTTTAGGTACGTAGTGCAGCCTCCACATCCCAAAGGTGAATCTGTCATCTTTCTGTCTGAAAGTTAATCTAGTGAGCTAGACCGTGGCTAAATGGGGATGTTTAAATGCAAGGTCTAAGTGTTGTGTTACCAGCTTGAGTTAAACAAAATATGGAGAGATCTTTCATTGGAGAAGCCCTTAAAGAAGGGGTAACATATACTAAAACTCCTCTTGCTAATCTTGTGGTCTCTTTATCTTCAGCTGCTCAGATAAAGAATTTGATGAGCCAGCTGGGAACCAAGCAGGACTCCAGCAAGCTGCAGGAAAACTTGTAAGTGTTCACTGAGTAAAAGTTGTTCAGGCTCTTTTATTTTTACCTTTGTTCTTAGAGAAGTGAGTTACTTTGGATAAATGCTTTACTGCATGAATTTATTATGGTCTTACAAAGCAAACGTTACTAGATGTGTGAAGTAGTTTAGTGAACATATGAAGGTGTTCCTGCAGGACTCCAGAGAAACCACTCAAAGCTACTGAGTAAGATTGACTAGAAAATGGTATATAGAACCTAAAAAGAGCAGTATGATATTAGCCACGTGTTACCTGAGGAGTAGCCCTAGTAGTTCTCTTGTGGGTTAAAAGAAATGCTTGTCATACTGGGTACTTTGTCCTCACGTAAGGGCAATCCAGAACAGTGAGGAAGGCCTGTATTTGATGGAAAGACAGCTTTTAATACAGAAGAATTTGAGGTGCTAGAAAGATGAGCAATCCTCTCCGGCAGCCAAAATGCAAGGTATAACTTCACAACGAGCCAGTGGAGGACAGTGTAGAAAACATTTTAACAGTGCAGTCTATAATATGTCCCACAGAGACTGGACAGGCAGTCTGTGCATCTTATAACTGCTTGAAAAGCAGAAATAGAATGTTATGGAGAGAATAAATTCTGGATTAAGAAATGTCAGAAGTGAGTTTTTCTGTAATCTTTCACGTGAATGCACCTTGAATCTGAATGTGCAACATCCTCGTTTTCGTAATAGCTGCTTGTCACATAAATACATCAGTTGTGATGGTTGGCACTGCGCTCACTACACGTGGAGTACATTTCTGTTCTCTTAGGGAAAAATATCCTTAAAGATGTGTGAGCTTGGAAACCTTACTTGGTCATTATTGTAAATGTTGAAATGCTCAGGTTGCTTTTTGGAAGAAACTTGTGTCACTGTTTCTGCATCACTGTTTTAGACAACAGCTACAGCATTCTGCAAACTGCTTGGCCAAAGAGACCAATGAGTATCTCAAAGAGCTGGGGTCTCTACCACTTCCTCTGTCTGCTTCTGAACAGGTATGCATGTACAATTTTCTAGAGTTTTTTGACTTGATAAGCTGGCTTAGAGTGCAATTTCACAGAGCTTTAACTGGCACAGCTGAAGAGACAGCAGCTTTCTGCAATGAAGGCAGTTGTTGAAATGGGAAGGCAAATTAAGCCAGCTACATCCTGAGTGCGTGATGCTGGGGGGGGAAACGTTTATCAGCAGCAAATAGCTCTAAAACTTGGGGAGAGCTGAGTATGGAACTCTGTTTCTGAAGAAATAATCTTGTTTACAGAGCAGTCTGGTGATGTGAGACCGCATTTTTTGGATAAAAACTCAGTGCAAGCTGAATGTCAGTATGAAGTGTGATTGTACCAAGAAACTTTTCCTTCCATGGGATTTATGGCCTGAACTGAAGGTGGGGGAGGGAAGGAGCTGACTCAGCTTGCTCACATCTAAAGAAATCTGCTGAGGCAATGCTTATGACTTTGTGTCTGGCAAAACAGTCTTTCAGGGCATCCCTTCCTGTGGGGAAGGGGAGGGAAGGGATGCTCCTGTGCTGTTGGAGTCTTTTGTCTCCAAATCACTGCCGCAGTGCTGGCTTATCTGCTTTTGTGATGCTGTTATGGGATCATCTGTGGATATGGGTCAGCAGATGTTGTCTTAGTAGATCCAATTCTCTATCTAAAGGTTTAAATACCGCCTGTAAGTACAGCGGTGTGTTGTGTGTTTGCTCAGAAAGTATTTTTCAGTTAATCTCGCTCTAAGCAAAGTCCGGTCACATGGCTGAGTGTGGCACTGACTTCTGTAAGTGAACGCAGCCCACTGAAGCGGTGCGGTTGAAATCTGTAGGAGCAAGATCTCATTGATAATGTATGTATTATTTTTCTTTGACGTATCTGCTGAATTGCTACAAGCTTCTTGAAAGTACTAGAGAGCCTACAGGTTGAGAGGGCTACTGGTAATCTCTGCAGTGGAAAGTGTAAGAATCAGCTGTAGTATTGACTGTCCTTGGGTCAAGTCTTTTTTCCAACTTCTTGTTTTCCATACATGGGGTGTCACAACACAAAGGGAACGTGCCAGGGAAACATGCACAGCACAGTTCCACAGTAGGTAGAGCACAGAGCATTTGGGCTTTTTGTTCTCCAGTTTCTGCCCCAGAATGCTGGAAACAAAGGATCACTTAAATGTTAGCATTTACTTTTCTTTTTATGCTGTTTTGGAGATGGTTGCACGTGAATGGCAGTACCTGAATGCTTGTTGTTTTGTTGTTTTTTTTCCTTAGCGTCAACAGAGGCTTCAGAAAGAACGTTTAATGAATGATTTCTCTGCAGCCTTAAATAATTTCCAGGCAGTACAGAGGCAAGTGTCAGAGAAGGAAAAAGAGACTGTAGCAAGGGCAAGAGCTGGCTCCCGTATCTCTGTAAGTATTTGCAGGCGTTCTGTTGTGATGTAGTGGATTTACAAATCATTTCAGAGATCTTGTCTTTGCCCACTGACTTCATGATTGTCTACTGGTTCATCACTGAGCGCAGATGAGGCCTCAGTAGGTTGTTTTGCTGTTCCAGATGTTGTAATTAGTAGGCACACATCTTGATATGCTGATGCACTGATGATCTGAATAAAGAGACTCTTGTCTTTGCCTTTCAGTTGCCTTTGATTTGCAAAAAGAGTCTGAATTTAAAATTAAATCTGGTCTAAACTCCCTCAGGTTAAATCTGAAAGTTGAAGAGACAATGGCAAAGAACTCTCTGGGCAGCATATGCCTTTGTCTTCAGGATATACCTGTTGATTTTGTTTGCTAGTAGTTCTGGTAGTCTGAAATGTTAACACCTCATTTATTTATTCCAGGCTGATGAGCGGTTCAGAGAAGAACAGCTTGTTTCGTTTGATAGGTAACAGCTGCTTGCATTCTTGGGGTACACTCTTACCTATGCATAATTAAAATGATTGTAGATATACTGTAGCTTGGGCAAGGCTCTTTCAGCTGAATGAAAAGCAGAAAGATGCTGTGCAGTTTGTACAGTGTTTGTAATATACAGTGTTTAAAAAAAAAAGTGCATGGCAGTATCTGAGCCTGCAGAAATGTAGGCAGTTGATTACTGTCCCAGTGGGAATAGTTCAGTCCCCAGTGTGTGGTAGTTGGAACTCCTGGTGTTCTGGACTGTGAGCACAAGATTACCAGGCATGTTTTCTGTCACCAAACAATTTCCAAAAAAAAAAACCAACTCCATACTACTTTCATGAGTTTGTGTGTTATCTATGAGCCCAGATGGAGCCGTTACGAAGTAGTGGATGAGACTGCTCTAAACTCAGAAGCCTTGGAGGTAATAATCCATTGATACCAGAACAGCCTAGTCAACATCACTATAAAATATCAGGCTCATATATAGATTCTGCAGTGACTTTGTGCCTGCATAGCAGATGAGTTTGCAGAATGTTGCATCAGCTCTACAGTGAGTCAAGTGAACTCAAGACACTGCAAAAGTGTTTGTGATTACGGTGTCAGCTTCCACTATGCATGCCTGAAAAATGGAGGATGAAATACGTTGGCCCTATCTGTATAAACCTTGTAAGGCTCTAAATCAAGGCACCCATCTTAGACATCTCATCCCCTGATCAGCTGTTTGGTGTTAGTCCTGTGGTTCCACATGCTGAATTGTTCAGTTATAGAGATGCTGTGATGAGTTTGAAGTCTTGCTCACTAATGCACGGGGTGCCACATAAATACTTGCTTGTGGAGAGGCCCTCGTCTCAGAGTGAGTGTGAGTGATGTTCTGAAGAGGCACTAAGGACTAGGCTGCAAATATTTCCATATTTGAAATTGTCCTTATGTGCTGTACATCAGACACTGGTGCCTTAAACCTGAAGATTCTGCTGTCAACTCAGCAGAATTCCTGAATGTCTCTGCTGTATCTGATCTATTCAAGTAGTTTATTGTCATTTCTTTTTGTGCTTGGAGCCTTTGGAAGTTGGAGTTATGTCACAGCATGCCTGTTGGGTATATTGCAGTGCTTTCAGATACACTTGGCTCCGAGAAGAAGAGGGAGATATTACCCCAGAAGACTTTTGTGCTGGACACATAGCTGACTTTGTATTATCAGTACTGCCTTCACTGTAATCAGTGTGTGCCACTTACGTGGCAGTTATGAAGTACTGCCATCAGGGTGGGTGTGCACCGTGATACAGAGACTTTTCTAAGCATCCCTCTTGATGTGTGACTTAATTTGCAGTTCTTGCTAGATTAATGAATGAAAATACTAAAGGTTCTTCGTATCCCCAGATGGCAGATAGCAAATGAGAATCTTAGCACCAAGATGCTTGCCAGGTGTTCTTTTGATTTGATAATGTTGTGCTTGCAGGCTGCTCTCCATCAAGACTTTCACCCTGATTGATTCCCCCTTTTTTGTGGGGGATGGTGAGAGGAAAGGAAGGTACAGACACTTTAAAAAGCAAACTTAAAAAAAGCAACCTCAAATAAGGCCTGTCCTATAATGCTATAGGTAATGGTCACATCCTAGCACAAACTATCCTATGCATGTACTGCTTTTCAGTTTCTCCACTTTTCTTGGTCTGTCCCTATTATTGTTCTCACTTGTAATTGCTGTCATAAGTCTGCAGTTAGTTGCAAGGCTGGTGTTGTTCTGTAGGAACCCTTTCAACTTTAACACCCTGGTGATTCAGTGTAATCATAGTGAGAAAATATTCCTGTGCTGAAAGAAACAATGTTTTACTTTCCTTCTCTTCACAGTGGTGAAGACTGGAATCAAATGCAGTCTCAAGAAGATGATGTGGCAATAACTGAACAGGATCTTGAGCTTATTAAAGAAAGAGAAACGGCAATCAGGCAATTAGAGGTGAAGAGCAGATCCTGCACTTATGTTAATATATAGTTAACAATATTAGAATATAAACCAAAGAATTCATGCAGTGCTATCTAATGGGATGGGCTGAGCAGACCTGAAGGTAAAAGAACTGTTCCTTGTAGAAAGGATTGATGCCAAGATAAATCTCCCTGCTCCAGTTTAAGGAGACTAGGTACATTTTCCTTCAGTGTTTGCTGGTGGGCCTTCAGAGATGGTAGGAGCAACTCGTGACAGGGTTCATCTCAATTCCCTACTCTGCTAATTGCTTGTGACATGAAAGAAAGAACAAGCAGTGAGAATATTGCAAGCTCTTATGTTAATCCTAAGTTCCATCAATAGCAACATCGAGTCACCTGACTCAGTGAGTGATGGTACCTATTCAGTTATTGTGAGTGATGTTCTGAAGAGGCACTAAGGACTAGGCTGCAAAAAAGCTGTAACCAGTGTTTTGTATAACTTGTCAAACTTGTCTTCAGGCCGACATTTTGGATGTCAATCAGATATTTAAGGATTTAGCCATGATGATTCACGACCAAGGAGATATGATTGGTAAGTGTTTGGATAATAAGAAGCTTCTTTTCTAGTTCAGTTGCACATTCTGCCTGTGTAGTTCAATTTTTCTGATATTTTATTTAAAAAAAAAAAGATTGTATTTCTTTTTTTTTTTTTTTAAGCATCAAAAGTCTGAATTATTTTACAGGTTCTCTTATTTTTCCATAGATAGCATAGAGGCAAATGTGGAAAGTGCAGAAGTTCATGTGGAAAGAGCCAGTGAGCAGTTACAGAGAGCTGCCTATTATCAGGTAAATTATGTATGCTTGCATTACTGTCAGTGTACAGGTGAGTACCAGTAATGGTACAGCTCTAACAAGATGCTAAGGACTGCAGCACACCAAACAGACCATTAAAAACACATCATGCAAATTGGCACTCCCACAGAATTGTGCTGAAAGGAATTGATAAAGCAACTGACTCGAGAACATTCAGTTGAAATTAGCCTTCTAATTCAGAGTGGTGTAGTCAGTCTGTTCCTCCATCTCGGTATTCTCAGCAGGTTTAAATGTTTAGCTGTCTTTGTTCTCAGGGGAGAGCTGAGCAGTTCTGCTAACAGCAGTTTGGCATGTTGTGGCCATCTTATAAACATATCAGCTAAGCCAAGATTTCATGTAAGAAATTGGCTTAAAAAAAAGATTCTTAAAAAATAAAATCCTTGCCCAAACTAAGGGAACTCGTGATGACCAAGATTTGCAGCACCTTTCTAACTGCTCAGTTTCCAACCTGTGATCTGACTTCCTTGTCCAGTCACCTCTTCTGCATTGGTTTTCACTGCTACTTAAATCATTTTTATGGTGCCCATGGTTTCCATAGCATCCTTACATTCCTGTTGGTGGAAATGTCTGCCCGGTGATGGGCGAGAGGCATTGGGCACTGACTGGAACACGAGGTCCTTTTTGGGCATCAGGAAGCTCTTCTGTGCTGTGCAAGTGACAGAGGACCAGAAGAGTTGGCCTGGAGAGGCTGTGGATTCTCCTCCTTGGAGGAGTTGCCTGGATGTGGTCGTTGGCAGTGTGCTGTGGGTGTCCCTGCTTGAGCAGTGGTTGGACAGAGACCCAGAGCTGCCTTCTGACCTCATCCACCTGTGGTTGTTGTGACTGTTGGCTCAGGTTCTGTGAGGAAAAAGGTTTCTGCTCCCACACAAGATAAAAAAAAATTGGGTGCTTTTAAGTGTTGAGATGTTGAAAAGCTTTACACTCAGTGCTGTTTAACTGCAAGAAGAAAGTAGCTTTTGCCACCTGGCAGCATGTAGTATTTATAAATGCTTTGAGATGGCAGTAAATCCATCCAAAACAGTGTACCAAGACAGGTATACTAGGCACATATTAGATGTGTTTTTTTTCTAGTCAGAGAAGGAAGTGATTATACATAACCAGTCTCAGAGCATTATGTGAAGTTAAAAATACTCAGTGCACGTGGACACTGTGGCTTCCTATGATGAAGAAAGCGATCAAACTAAAACTAAGTACAGTAACTGTATGCTGCATCATTTAAGCTGTAGAAATGCTGTACTATCTCTGCACCAGACTATGGGGGGATTGTGTCACAGGAATGGCATTTTCATTTGTTTTAGCTGGAAGATCCCAATAGCTAGAGATGTTTAGCTTTCCTTTGCAGCCTTGGTGGCAGACCTTAGCAGGAAATGTATATTAGGTGTTGCCGACTTCCCTGTTTGTAGTAATCTTGAAGTACAATTTTGAATTTGCCTTAAGAATAGCAGAATTTGTTACATTCTGATTTAATTGCATTTCTTAGACCTAAAAAACATTTAGTTGTGGCTTATGCTATTTAAGGAACATGAAATTGTATAAATGGTACTTGTTAATTCCCTTGAATAATTATGGGTATTGAGTGCTCTGACTCACCAAATTCAGTAACATGAACTGGCAAACTTGCTTTTTCTTCCTCATCTGCTCTTGATATCAGTGGCTTTTTTATTTTCCTTCCTTCTTCAGAAGAAATCCCGCAAGAAGATCTGTATCCTGATTCTTGGCCTTGCTGTGGCTTCTATAATCATAGGATTAATTATCTGGTGGACAGCAAAGTGAGATCTTCACGTGGAACCTTGTCTCATTGCTGAGAATATTTTTCCCCCAGCACGAACAGGCAGACTTGTCTCGGAAATGAAACCACCCTGAGAGAGCACAAGCTGGAACTACTTCTAGTAATAGTTATTAGCAACTAATGTGCAGACAACTAGTATTTGGAATTAGTGAACCATGGAGACAGTATTTATCAGTTTATATACAAATTATATTGTTTTATGTAACTAACATCTTGTGGTTTTGCTTTCTGTAATGCATTATTCCCTGTCCCAACTGTATGCTGAAGTGTGATCAATAATTGGAGATGTCTTGTTTATTTTGACAAGTGGCAGAAATTTGACTTTTTATATGTACAGATAACTTTGGACTGGAATGACATTCAAAGAGGGCACAACACTGACTTTCATTACCTTAATCCTGCAGTTTCTCAAGTCTCCGATATCTGCCCCATGGTTTTATTGGTCTCTGGGTGGCTATGGTTCTAAATTCAATTGAAGAGAAAGATGCCACTGCAGATCTGAGAAGCAAGAAGTATGCATGGATGATGATCAGAACTGCGTGCTTAGGAACAGTCAGTTTAGCCTTGAGACTCGTTGTTTTTATAAATTTTTGTGCATGGTTGGGGTTGTGGTTTTTTTAATGCACCAGTTGAGTACTGTGAGTCTGAGGACGTCCTATCTAGCAGTGCAATGTCATTGATGAAATTAGCTGATGGTTTACTATTGGACAAATAAATCTCTTTCAATGCTGACTCTCAAAGCACTAAAATACAAGTTGAGTTTCTTGCTCCTAATTGATTTTTTTTCTTGGAGAAAATGGTGTAAAGATGAGGAAGCAGGTACCTAAGCTTACAGGTAAACAAGACAGATGTGTATTATGAGAAATCCTGCTTTGAAGGACTCTTGAAGCTTCTTGTAATGTATCAGTAAATATTGTGTGGCTTGTGAATGTCTGTTATTTTTCCATTCTTTATGAAACAAAGTGCAGAAATTGGCTGAGCAAAGTGCAAAGGTTTTGAGACTGAGGATGTGTGTGCAAATTAAGGATTGCTGCTTCTAGCTGTCTTGCTAGCAGAGCTGGTCAGGACGTAGCAGTCACTCCCTGCTTTGTTGTAGCTCTAAACTGACATGCACTGAGGGATCAGTAACCTGTCTCAAGCCCATCATAGTGTGGTAAATGCATCGTACTGACCCATTTTGTATTTAATCCTTCTTCCATGTCTCCTGTGTAATAAAGTAAATGTGAAAGCTGGGAAGGGAGGGTGTTCTCCCAATTGCACATTGGTTTGCACTACTGCGCCATCATTCCAATAACTATCAATAAACACTTTTAAAAGCCTTTGCCAGAGCTTCTTTCTCATGCAGCTTAAATGGTGCCAGAAGTGTGATTGCAGATTCCTCTGTAAGTCTGCTTTATAGAAGCACCAGCAGCGTCTCTTCCAATTTAGCACTGCAGTCTGTGATTCTTCAGCATGAAACACCCTCATAGTAAGTAATTTAATCACAGAATGGCCAGGGTTGGAAGGGAATCTCCAACCCCCTGCCACACGCAGGGCCACCAACCTCCACATTTCACAGCAGCCCAGGCTGCCCAGGGCCCCATCCAACCTGGCCTTGAACACCTCCAGGGATGGACGGGGCATCACAGCCTCTCTGGGCAGCTGTTCCAGCACCTCACCGCTCTCATAGCACAGAACTTCCCCCTGACATCCAACCTCAATCTTTCCTCCCTCAATTCAAACCATTTCCCCTTGTCCTGCTGTTATCTCCCCTTTCCAAGAGTTGACTCCCCTCCTGTCTGTAGGCTCCCTTTAGGTACTGAAAGGCACTGAGGTCACATCGCAGCCTTTTTTTCTCCAGGCTGAACAAGCCCAGCTCCCCCAGCCTGTCTTCGTAGGGGAGGTGCTCCAGCCCCCTTTAATCTTGACATCTAGTCTCAATCTACCTTCTTCCAGTTTAAAATCACGTCCTGTCGCCCTTATGAAAAGTCCCTGCCCAGTTTCCTTCAGGTCCTGGAAGGGCTTTCAGGTCCCCTCGATCTTTCTCCGGGCAGCAGAGACCTCGACTGTCATCACACGGAGGTGCTCCAGCCCTCTCACCGCCTCCGTGGCGCTCCAAAGCACCGCGTCCTTTTCGCTCCGGAGGCTCCAGGCGCTCTACGGGAACGTTGAGCACCGCTCGCGCTTTCCGAAGCTGCCCTGCGCTGCCTGCCTGTCGCGCCACGGCGCCGATGGAGCTGCTCGGCCCCGCCCCCGCCCGGCGCGGTGCACGCTGGGACGCCTCCGCCGCTCCTCCCGCCGCCCCTCCCGGCTGCCCCCGGCCCGCCTGAATGGGGCAGATACAAGATGGCGGCGAACGCGAACTCGGCCGGAGGCGGCGGCGGCCTCTCGCTCTTCGAATGCCCCAGCTGGTGAGCGGGCCGCGGCCGCGCGGTTCTGCGGCGTTGCGAACCGCCGAGGAGAGCGGCCGCGCGACCGGGTTCGGGGGAGCGGCGGCGGGGCGGGGCGAACCGCGGGGCTGCGGAGCCTCACAAGGCGGGGAGACGGAGCCGCCGGGCCGCGGGGCAGCGTCGGATTCAGGGGTCTGGAGCGGAGGAGGCCCGGCTCGGCGCTGGGGGCGGCTTGGGGCGGGGCGGCGCTGCGTGGGGCCGAGCTGAAGTCGAGCTGCGTCTCTTCTGAGGGGCGACGGGGCGGCCGGGCCGGGATGGAGGCAGCGCGGGAAGCCGGGCAGAGCGATGGGCTGCAGAGGCTGCGACGCGGCTTTGGCCGAGCCGGTCGCGGTTACACAGCGCTCTGCCCGCCGCACGGCCGGGATGGGCCTCACCGCTGCTCGGCCGGGCCCCGCTGCGCTGCTCGGGGGTGGATGGGCACGGCGGGGCTGAAAGACGATGGCAGCTTTTGGTGCGAGTTCCCCGCACGCGTGTGCGTGGCTGCGGGCCCCGATTGCACCGTCATCCGGCTGCGGATCCTGGCTGTGCGTGCTGGATGGCAGCGCTCGATGAGCCGCTGCAAGGACAATGTGCTTCTCAGTCTTCGTTTAAATCGTAAAGCCATCTAAATCTCGAATAAAATAACATTTGAGCTGGGTCTAGGCGGTATCGAGCATCTCTATGAGACAAGATGGTGATCTGTAACACAGCAGTGTGAGTTAGATCAAACCAGCAAATGGAATCACAGCATGGTTGGGTTGGAAGCGACCCCGCAAAATGATCCAGATCCGAGCCTTCTGCCCTGGCTGCTACATCAGGCACCAGGTTGTGCTGCCATGGACCTCATCTGTGGCCCTGAGCACCTCCCGGGATGGGGCACCCACTGCTCTGGGCAGCAGTGCCAGCGCCTCACCGCCCTCTGAGGGAAAACTTCCCCTGACATCTAATTTAAATCCACCTTCCTTTAGTTTAAAGCTATTCTCCCTTTTCCTATGGCTATCTACCTGTGCAAAAAGTTGGTTTATCTCCTGTTTATAATCTCCCTTCACAAAGGCCTTTATGAGGTGTCCCTGGAGCGTTTTCTTCTCCAGGCTGAGCACCCCCAGCTCCATCAGCCTGTCATTGCAGGAGAGGTGCTCCAGCCCTCTGAGCTTCACGCTCAGTGCCTTCTGGATATCCAGCTTGAAATTTGAAAGCTAGTTTGCTTTTCTTAGCATTTGGATACGACAGTATCAAACAACTCAACAAGCTCAACAACTTATGTTACATTTGGTGATAAATTTGAATGGTTTCTACCACTGGAACCTGTAGATGAAACAGCTGGGAGAAATGTGGCTTAGTGCTTAGATTCAGTTGCTTGAGTGCTGTTGCATAACAGTTCCTAAAGAAATACCGTGTGGAGAGAAGGACTGTACCTGTGAAGGGCCTCTTCAGCTCTATTGCTTTCTGGCTCTGCTGCAGGCAGGGCGGGGGCTCACAGCCAAGCAGCTTTCTGCACCGTGCTGCTGCTGACCTGACCCAGGTTTGAAGCACAGTCCATTGCGCTGGGATGTGATCCAAGCTGGAGTTTTCACACCTAGCAGTAAGAGGTCATCTTGGGAGACTGGGGCCCTGTTTCTTCCTAACAATTCCAATCTTTTTTTTTGTTTTTCCTTTTTTCTTCAATCTGAATGTTCTTTTACTATAATTTCCTGAAGTACTTCACAAGTAAACCAGAGTTTGTGTTTGGACACTCGTGCTTTTGAAGGGAGCTCCTTCTTTTTCTGTACACCTCTATTGTACGTGTGCAAATCATAATATTTCATACAAGCTTTATGCAGGATAGTGAAGGCACACTTGACTCTGTCTATTCTTACACAAATTGCTGTGCAAAGATGTGGCAGTTAATTTCAATGAATAACTCCTTTTTGTGTGGGCTAACATAAAGTTCTTGGTTAACACTTTTGAAGCAGGTAAGTAGTTTCATTAACTGAAGAAAAGTAAGTTGAAGCAGGGAGCCAATATAGATAGCTACCAGTCACAGTGTTTGTGTTCTGCAAAGAATATAGGCAACTGAGAATGGAAACTGGTGCACTTAGGGTTGGTGGTGTTCCACTGCCTCATCCAGCAGGAGGGAGGATCTCTCCTGTCGTGCTGGATTTATTTACTTCTGGTTTATTTTTCTAGTCTGGAAAGAGTAGAATGTATTTCTTGTTAAAGATTTACATGATCTCCCTTAGTTTCTACTGAATTACAGATTATAGCTCACAATTTGAAAGTACTTACTGCTTCAGGGCAAACCAAAGAGCACGTAGTTACGATATTCAATAAGTGATGAGTTTTTCATTATTAGGATTCTGTAGAGTGGAAATGGCTTGCAGTGGCAGAACTGGACCAGTCTGAAGCTCTGAATTCCAGAGAATCTCAGTGTGGACGTATCCCAAACTTTGGTAGCCAGGTAGATCTTAGCAGGGAGAGCGCTGGGTGCTCAGAAGCCATCACATTTCAGGGAGTCTTCATGGTGAGTAGCAGCTGCTTCTGCAGGGAGTGCCTTCCAATCTCGTTAACTTGTGTTGGAACCAAAGTCATAGTTTTGACATATCTGTTTTCTGCCTCCTCATGGAGCTGCTGTAAGGGCTACAAACACCTGTCATATAGGAAATATATCTTAAACATCACTGTCCAAAGTAGTTGTTCTTTTCTTGTCTTTAAACATGTCGTGCTTTTGAGCTCTGCCCCTGTCATTGTATCTGTTCTTCCCTAATATGGATAATGTTGTAGTATTCAGTTTCCAAAGACTGAAGTTCATGGGTTTCAATGGTTGAAGTCTGGGCTTTGGTTTAGTTCTCATGCTGCTGTGGCTCAGTTCTTCATAGTCCATAGGACGCTTATTCTTGTTTATTTCCAACAGTTGAACCAACTCAGGAAAGCACTTAGTATTTGTCATCTGTCTCGATAGCATTCCCTTACCTTGCTTCACGTTTATGCGTGTGCTGTAATTCTTTCATGGGCCCATGCAGCCCAAGGGCATGGGCTACATAATTAAAGTCAGATTAAAGTTGTAATCAAGGCGTTTCATGGATTACATGTAGTCAAGCCACAAGACTAGAAAGTGTCCTTAAGAAAGAATTACATATCCTGGCTTTATGGGGACTCTGGCATACTTTCTGAGGTGGCTTTAGTATAGTCAGGTGCAGATGTTCTGGCCTGGTTTTGAGGTGAGCATCACATGTTGCACAGATATCGCCTGTCTTTCCTTCTGCCCTGGTTCAACTTGCTTTTGGGACCAGGAATTATGCTGTGCTCTCTGTCAGGACACAGCAGTAGCTGGGATGTCAGGCTTGTTCTGCAGTATACATACATGTAAAGTAGTATTCCTGAATGGCAGCTGTGGTTTCTCTTCAGTTTCTGGGGGCTAAAAACAGATTTACACAGATCTCCGGAGAAGCTGAGCTCTGGAAATTGTGCCTTGTCCTTGAAGTTCAGCATGAAGATGTGCACAGCAGTCACCTACACCAAGATTTTAGGAAGTGCCTAAATTAGTCTTCCGAGCCCACGATTAAGAACCTAAATAATTGACCTGATTTTAAACGCACACAGTAGAACTGCATTTGGCCTGGCTGTGTCCTGAACAGCTAAAGCTCAAGGTTTCTCTCTGAGCTGGATAGGGCTTGCTTCAGTGAGGCTCTCCATTTCAACTGGATGCAGCTGGATGTTGTGACCCTGCTGTTATGTCAGCCCTGAATTTAGGTGTTGAAAAGGTATTGTTGAGTTCAGTTCCATTATTTGGTACTTTCCAGTTAGCATCCCAAAGCATTGGTGGCTTTGTGCTCTTTTTTTGAAACGTTCCCAGTTTTTTGCCCCAGCTCAGCCTGGGCTCTTCATCTTCTTGTCTGTCTGTGCCTTTCCTTTCCCACTGCTGTATGGCTCTG